TTGTCTTGAAAAAGAAAGAGAACTTCTAATTCACTTTCTTAGTTGAAGTAATGGATAAGTACTATCGGCCAATAGAAAAATGAACTGATAAGTTTATACTGAGTGCTTGCAATAATAACAACATACAGTTAGAGCCCCATTTAATAGACGAAATATATTGAATTTTTGGACAAGTTATCCAAACTAGATGGATGGAAATATGCCCTTCACATTCACCTAAAAATTAATTAATATTAATCATCCACGTACTCGTCCCAAAATCCCACGCAGGTGTTTTTTCCTTGAAAGATGGAGCGGGAGGGAGGGAGGGAGGGGGAGAGAGAGAGAGAGAGAGAGAGAGAGAGATAGTGTCTGAATGAGCATGTGACTTCAACGAATTCTTATTCCATCATAATTTTCCACCAAGAAAGTTAAAAAGATAGTAATAAAAAATAATTTTCATAATAATTTAGATTTGGCCATACTTTGTGGTTCCATTGGGGAGCCTCATGTGCTGTGATAGGCAGCATAAAAAAAATCCACCGTGTGTGCGCGTGCGTGTGTGTCTCCACTTGATTAAGTTAATGGATCAACCTTAATCGTCCACTTATCCCAAAATGCCATATATGGGCCCCTGCCATTTCCGAACTCATCTGCGGTTCTTGTGCTCAATCAACCCTCAAAACCCCAGCTAGCTCATCGAATGAAATATGTTCCTCCAAATTGCTTGCTGCTTCTTTTACGGATCTAACGATTCTTGAATAGAGAACACTTGTAGTGGATTCTGAAGTGCTGCACCATGAAGTGCTGCACCAAAGCCCCTGCTGGCAAAACTTGGTGGGACTTTGAATACACCTCACATGCAACCACTTCAATTATTGTTCCGTTTCAACCATATCATCGAATCAATTAAACACAATTTTAAGTAAAATTGTTTATATATTTACTATCATACTTTTTCATAAAAACTGTTATGCATGTGTGCCTTGGGCCTGAAGCTTTTATTTTACACTTCGAGGCAATGATGTAATTTTGAGTAAACAATTAAATATTCATGCGTGTGTATGTGTTCATGTTCGAAGAGTGATAAGTGATAACAACCACGTGCGTTATTTTTGTCCCAAGCCAGTTGACGTTTGACAATTAGGCGCAAGATTTCAGTCGAAAATGCTCACACTTAAAAAAGCAAAGGAAGAAAAGAAAGAAATTAAAGCTAATAATGTTCTTTTTAAAGCTCAAAGTCACGAGACACTTTTTGATTTTAGATACCTTTATCCGTGAATAGGAACGAATTGAGGCGCGAATTTAGCGGGGAAATGGATCATCATGAGCTTAAAGTTGTGTGGGATTTTAGTGAACATTGTGAACTAGGACCATACTCTCTAATTGTATAGTCAATATAATCATGAATAATCATGCAAATAATTAATTCAATTACATATATGTTGACTAGTTTATTCTTATGAATGATACAATGAGATCTTCAGTTAACCAAAGAAGATAAATTTTCAATTTCTAAACTTCATAAAATTAGCCTGGGTTTAGTTTGACTTCCGCTCATCATGCCATGATATTATTTTGGTTCTAATTGATGGGTTTATTTAATTATATATACAAATAATGCAATAATTATTTCATTTATTAATTAATTGTGCATATGGTTGCTTTTTGAAGTGGACGTATTAATATTAAACGACAAGCTAGTCATTTTCGAAGATGGATGGATCATAATTAGTTCACATATTTATAAGAAATAAAAGGCTAGCTTTGAAGATGAAGGAGATGGAGTTTGCACAAGTAGGGTCCTTCGAGTTCATGATGAAGCCAGAAATGAACTTTTATTGAAACACGTCCTCAAACTTTTGAAACTTCTTCTCTCTCTCTCTCTCTCTCGTGTCTTGCTAGCTTGCTTTTTTGCTTTTATAAAGGAACTTTCAATTGCTCCCTTAAACATGAAAGGAACTTTCAATTGCTCCCTTAAACATGAATTTCTAGAGATCACTCACTCTTTGCTATGTATAAAGACTTACATTAAAATTTGCTTTAATACTGATGAATTTATTGAAAAGATTGCGAGTTGAAATTAATTATATGGAAAACCACTTGAGATTAATTCAGATGGTAAGGATGAAGCAGCTTTTAAATAAATATATAAATAAATATATATATATTACATGTACGTGAAACGAAAATACTCAGCAAATCCTAAGATTCAGGTTGTTAATGTGGCCAATATATGAAAAAATGAAAATCAAACGCTCAAGGTACAAAATAAAACTGAATTTTCAAGAGGAAGATGATTGACGAGAAATAACACGCCAGTCATTGTTTAACAAAATTAAGCATACGCTAAATTCTGCATTGATAATTGATTTGGTCTTAACATTGTTAAGTAAAAAGTTTTGAATAATTTCTGTTTAACATCTTTTTTATAAGATTAGTGGTTGCCAGGTAAAACATCTTGTCGTGGTCAATTCTTTTGCTATCGATCACAAAATTGCCCCATGTATGCATGCTATAGTAAACACCTTTGTGATCAGACATATAAGCGTGTAGGTGTGCTGCCTCTATGATTAGTCATTTTATAATGATGAAGGTATTGTATATATTACTTTTCTATAAATGTAACTTAACAGTCATGTATGTCTCACCAAAATATCATTTTAAATGAAGTTGAAGTGTATGAGAGTTCCACATACCTTCAAGAAAGAGCCAGAATTGCATGCCACATATATAACGGCTACTGATCACCTCTCACTCCACGGCATCTCTTTCTCTTAGCCTCCAAGGTAAACATGCACACACACACATCTCTTCTTTCTAGACTCTGTCTATACATATTACTAAAAAAACTCATTTTCCCAATTTTAATTATTAATTATATATGAAACCCCTTCTTACAAGGAAAGTTATATATCCCCAATGCATAGAAAAATACTTTTAATTTCATGTAAAACGAGGCCTTCAATTTTTTTGTTAACTTTTAAAAGCTACGCTGGAGCTTGTATATCTATACATACATACATATATACATTCATATATACATGATTCAAAAATCACACAACAACTTAAATATGATAAATCATAAAGTACAATCCGAGGTCGGCTTTTACGGGGTCGATGTCTTGCGGTTACATTAAACTATAGCCTTTAATTTGCAAGCTAAGCAAGTATTGCACCACTTTAAGATGAGCCATTAACTTCGCGTATAAAACATGAGCGAAGGAAAATGGAGCCATGAATCAATCATGCGCACTCCATTTATATATTTGAAGCCACGGAATAATCTACCAAATTTTAATTATTAATTAAAGATAAAATATAGAGAATCTTAACAATATCCAATTATACATTACATACACGAAATATGCTTTATCAGTTGCATGATCATATATATATCATATAGTGTACCTGCAAATTGGAATGCCGACATGTTCATCTCTGCTTATTCTTGCGTGGACCACTGGACACTATTATTAATCTTTACCTTTTTTTCGGGTAGGATTGTTAAAATCTGTCTTTAATTTGCTCACATGATTTACTATCGTGATTATTAGCTTGCGCGAAATGGTCAACGTTCTTTTGGAACTAATTAAAAGTTAAGTGATACATTTCAAAATTGTAATTTTTGAGAATAAAAAAGCGAAAAAGAAAACAAGAGCAGGGGAATGGTGGAAATGCAATGTAAACATGAAAATGGAGAGTGAACATGTAGAGATGGGAGCACTCGTGAATTGAGATGACATTGGAATTTCAACGCAAACATGATGAAGATGAGGACCAAAATGAGCCCAACACCAACACTACATCTCAGTGACGCGTTTGTTAGCTCAACAAGGATGATATATATTAAATTCCCTCCCTCCACACTCCACGCTCCATGATACAGGTTGCCCCGAATAATAGCCCATGATTACTCAAAATTTCATATGTTATCTCACAGAAAACAATATTAATCGAAATAACTTCACAATTAAAAAAAATTTAATTTACAAATTCAAATCAAGTCTTAAAAATACAAATAGCTTAACTATTTAAATAGATTTCTAAAAATTTAAATGACATAATCCTAACTAATCTAAAATTTTAAATGGATAGATCATATCTTAATGGATATATGTCATCCTTATTTAAATTTAAAACAAAATAAAATAATTTTTTTAAACTTAAATATGAAAATAAAATAAGATAAACTAATTTCCTAAATTTTAAAAAAAAAAACATTACCTAAACTAATTGGACTCATGGGCATGAGTATATTGGGTTAGGCCCAATATGTTAAAAGTCATTTTCTTCTAGAACTTCATTTGGTTTTAAGATTCCTTGATCATGTAAAACATCTCCAATTAATAAATTTAAGACTTATTTGATTCTCTTTGCTGGGGATTTAATTATGGGCCTTCCAATGCCTTGCAACAAATTAAAAATACTAAATGTTGGATTCTAACTCATTTCTTGATTCACATCATTCTCTCCCTCCCGAAGAGAATTCATCCTCAAATCATATGTATCAAATAAAAATAGGTCTACAACATTGAATGTAGTTGACACATTCCCAAAGGAACTAGAAAATTCTACCTTATATGCATTGTTATTAATTTATTCCAGCACTTAAACAAAGGTTTATCACTTTTTAGATGCAACTTTGTCTCCATCAAATTTGAAAATCTCCTAGGCCTAAGATATACCCAAATCCAATCTCCAAATTCAAAAACAACTTCTCAGCACCTTTTGTTAGTTTGTTTATCATATTGCTCATTTTTCCCTTCAATTAATGTCTTAATCTCAAAAAGAGAATAAGATATAGAATATACATTTAGGTTTAAAGTAAAATCATAGCTCAATTTTTCTCTTCCAAGTTTGCACTTTTATATTATATTGGGCCTTTAATATAGTGATTTGAGTTCTCAATACATATTATAACCTCTTAATTATGAATATTTTCAATCGGGCATTCTTCTATTAAAATGACTTGACTTTGGATAACTACATGATATAGGATACCACCCAGCTTCACGAGTTCTTGTCACATACCCAACACAAAATCATATACTTTTTATCTTGCCCCACTTGTTATATAATGCGCCACACAACATTGTGATTCTTGTTCAGAGAGCACAAACAACATTCAAAAACATGACTGCCCTCTTCTCTCTCTCACTTCTTCTCTCCTCTATTTCTTTAGCAGCCTCGGTTTCCATTCACCAGAGTTTCGTTCAGTGTCTCAGCTTCCACACCGACAAATCTTTCCCCTTCGATTCCTCCATTTACACTCCAACCAGTGCTTCTTTCTCCTCCGTTCTTGAATCCTCCGCCCAGAACTTAAGGCTCTTGGAGCCTTCCGCTCCTAAGCCTGAATTCATCTTCACGCCCGCCACCGACGCCCATGTCCAGGCTGCTGTTCTCTGCTCCAAAAAGGTTGGGATTCATCTCAGAGTGCGCAGTGGAGGCCATGACTATGAAGGCCTCTCTTTTGTGTCTGAGACTGAATCCCCTTTCATGCTTCTCGATCTCGTCAAGCTTCGAGGCGTCGACGTTAATATACAGGACAACACCGCTTGGGTCCAGGCCGGTGCCACCGTTGGCGAAGTCTACTACCGAATTGCAGAGAAAAGCTCTGTCCATGGCTTCCCTGCTGGCCTCTGCACCAGCTTAGGTATCGGCGGCCACATCACGGGTAAGAGCCATCTTAATTAAGTTTAATCGAATCCAATCCTCTTAGAGATCATTAGGTACTAATTAATGAAACAATTGATGGGTTGAACCAGGAGGAGCTTATGGTGCCATGATGAGAAAGTATGGGCTCGGAGTGGACAATGTGGTGGACGCGCAGATGGTAGATGCCTACGGCAGAATCCTGGACAGAGAAGCCATGGGAGAAGACTTGTTCTGGGCAATCAGAGGAGGTGGAGGGGCGAGCTTCGGCATTATTCTCTGGTGGAAGATCAAGCTCGTTCCCGTCCCGCAGACCGTGACAGTTTTTACGGTTACAAGAACCTTGGAGCAGGGTGCCACCAAGATCATCCATAAATGGCAGCAAGTGGCTCCCAACATCGACGACAACCTCTTCATGAGAGTCATCATCCAGCCAGCCGGTAACAAAACTCAGAGAACCATCACCACTTCATATAATGCCCTGTTCCTCGGAAACTCTAGAACGCTCCTTGATCTCATGAAGAACAACTTTCCCGATCTGGGTCTCGCCAGAAAAGATTGCCTCGAAGTTAGCTGGATCAGGTCCGTGCTTTACATTGCCGGTTACCCGAATGACACGCCTCTAGAGGTCCTCCTTCAGGGCAAGTCATCGTTCAAGAACTTCTTCAAAGCCAAGTCAGATTTCGTGAGAGAACCCATTCCAGAAGAAGGGATTGAAGGGTTGTGGAGCAGGCTGAAAGAAGAAGACAGCCCCTTGATGATTTGGAACCCATACGGAGGAGCCATGAGCAGATTCTCAGAATCAGAGACCCCATTTCCTCACAGAAACGGGACGCTGTACAAAATCCAGTACCTGACCCTGTGGGGTGATGGAGACAAGAACGAGGCGAAGCATGTGGAGTGGATCAGGAAGCTTTATAACTACATGACGCCTTATGTGTCGAAGTTCCCAAGGGAGGCGTACGTGAACTACAGAGATCTGGATTTGGGGATGAACAAGAAGAACAGTACAAGTTATATAGAAGCAAGCGGGTGGGGGAGCATGTATTTCAAGGAAAACTTCAATAGGTTGGTGAAGATAAAGACCAAGTATGATCCGGAGAACGTGTTCAGGCATGAACAGAGCATCCCGCCACTTCCTGTGTCATCGGCTGCTAGCAGTATCAGCTAGTGGGGCTGAAATTTGAAAAGGCAGTCGAATATTGTATGAAGGGATGCATGACGATGGTTTCGGAGAATAGACTGTTGTATGATACTTGATGGTCGTAATTAAATAGCTGATGCGTTATTTTGTGTTTGGTGTGTGACAACAACTCGTGAAGCTAGGCTTGCTTTTGTAGAACGAACGCAATGGGTCTGGGTGATTCACACGTCTTGTGGTGCAAGATTGGTTTACATGAAATATCATAAAAGTAGAACACTCGATCTATGAGTCTATGAATAGCAATTACTTATTAAGAAATATATGAAAAATTGGAGAGCAAATATCTGACTTGGGGAATTAGATGCTACAAAGTACAAACCTTTTTTATTTTTCAATAGTCGAACTGTCGAAGAAAGAAACCCCTAGGCACAAGTATTTCGGTGTCGAGTGCCATTGGTGAGTGCCGAAGGTATTCTTACCTCTCAATTATTTCGGGGCGAGCACATATTATTCTAAATTATTTATTAGAGTAATTTTGTCTTCCAAATGTTAAAATTGTAGCAACATCGCATAAACCCTTAATTCCGAAAAAAGAAATAAATTTATGGTATTTTTGTTTCTAAAATTTTCATAGAGGAACAACTAACACTTTAAAATTCAATAATATGAAACATTTGGCTTTCCTTTTATTTTATCATGTTTAGGGTTTGATAAGAAAAAGTCTATCAACCTGGACTAATAATCAACTAACAGTGATGTCATCGGTTATGTTTGTCTATCTTGACTAGCTAAATGCTAAAAAAAATAAAAAAAATATTAGCAACTATCAATTAACAATGTTATTATGGGTTATATATGTCTATTCTAACTAGCCATACGACTGACAAGCTTTTTTTTTACTGTCAAATACGTTTATAACCCGTTGATAATATAAATATTTATAACTTGTCATAGTATTGTGAGTTAATCATTTTGTTGATAGACTTTCTAATGACTAAATACCTAATTGGCTGATCATGTGACAACCTTAACATGAAGCTACATGTTTCTTGAGCCAAAATAAAAAATAAAAAAAAGCTACATGTTTCATTGGGGGGGGGGGGGGGAACAAGTATACCGATTGTTCTATCTTATTGAACTTTAGGATAACAATTGTACTTATTTGAATGTTTTAGAAGAAAAATGCCTTTAATCTATTTCTCTGTAGAGCAAACAGTCAATAGTACTATAGATAGAGGATAACGCTGCAATTGCAATAAATAGTTTAAGATAGTCGGTGTTGATTTTACATAACAGACAGCACAATACAATAAATACATTTGTAGAGCTAATAAGATCTCATAAAGAAGCATGCCCAAGCAAGCTACAATTGTTCCACCATTCTGTTTTCCCCTTTTTTAAAAAAAACATAACAATAAAATTTCTTTTGAATTATATAAATGATATTTTGATTCTTCAAAATGTCATAATTTTTTTATAGTCCTTAAAAATTTTTCTGTCATTAAAGAATTAATGTAAAAAATTAAATTGTCCTTAATTGAAATAAACATCTCAAGCCTTAGAATAGATAATTTGCGCCCTTAATTTGCAAGTTTTGCTTTAAGACTCACAATTTTTTTCTCAAATCATAAAAATTCAACAAAAATTCATAAATTTGCATTTGAAATCCTGATATTCTTCAAGTATTATAAATATCAATTACCATTCACAAATTTTATTCTAAGATTCACAAATTCTATTCTTAAATTTACAAAAATTCAATATCAATTTTCAAGTTCGCATTTGAATCCTAGCATTCCTTAAATGTTACAAATATCAATTGTCATTCACATTTTATTATAATATTTATAACTTTTTTTAAATTGCAAGAATTCAACAGCAACTCACAAATATTTGTTCTGAAGCTTAAGATTTTTATTTTAATCAAGGGTAATTTGGTTTTTCATATTAATTCTTTAATAATAGAAAAGTCCCTCAGGACTTAAAAAAATTATAGCATTTTGAGATATCAAAATATTATTTAGATAATTTAAAGGGATTTCAATGTCATTTTCCATTTTTTTCTTGTTAACACGAGTTAAACGTATATAAAAATATCAATTTCCTTTTAAATAACTTTCTATGATTTATCTCACAGTGTCAGTCTTAACTTGGCCATTAATTCCAAGTGGGTATGACGTCTGTCCAAACATTTAAAAAATTATACTCGTGCATTTGGGCTTATTTACACATTTCATGGATGCATCGCCACTTGTTCACCTCAGAATAATGCCAATGCAAAATTCTCTTCCTAGTTCCTCCACAATTTAAACGGCATGCATGAATGTTCAAGAATCGACATGCTCACTCCACCACTCAGACGCACCTATTTTAGAAGATTGCTTATAAATAAGCAATTGGGTTAAAGGGCAAATCTACATGTAAAATAGTCAACTAAGAGTACCTAATATCATAAAGTGAAAAAAGGTGTAAAAGTACCCTAAACGTTAAATTAATGAGTGTAACTATGCCATATCCTCTTGAGTAGGTGATCGTTGAATGTGAAAGTGCACACGTAAGCTAACAGTTGAAATATTTGCTAATATGTCCGTGTATCTTGTCTTCTTTCTTGTTAAATTCGGCCCTCTACAAGTAATGAAGGGTACATCAACCGTAGCAAAAGCATGAGCATTAGCAATAAAGAGGGTCTTTGTCTTCATTGGGTACTAGCATAGCATCGACTTCATCATCTACCACTAGAAGTAGTAGGAGGAGGATTGTGATCATTAAACAAGGTCAATGTGAGGAGAAATATGAAACTCCGACAAGGTACAGCCACCGTGGCTTGGTGGCACCTAGATGGACGACATGGATTAAAGGTAACCCAAGTAAAAGATTCTATGGCTACTGAAAGTATTACTAGGTGTAAGGTTTTGAAATTAATTTATCCTCCCTCCCTTTAATCTACTCAATGAAATTCTGATGTTGATGCTTAATTCAACAGGGTGGTGGTTGTGGGTTCTTCACTTGGCATGATAGTGACTTCGGAGAGGGAGAAGGTTGTGATTAAAGAGCTTCTTGATGATATAGACAAACTACACTACTTATGTAATATCCTCCTCCTAATCCCATAATTAAAATTAATTCTCAAGTAACAAGAAATGGGATTAAAATAATTAACATAATACTAAGTTTTCAATGGTTAGAAAAGTTGGGATCCCAAGCTTTGGGACGTGCACTGTGGCTCGTCTAGCATGCACCATAGCGTGTTCTCTTCTATGACGTGCGTCACGGCTCGTGGCATCATGCGCCACAGCACAATTGCACAAATTTTGACAATAAACTTTGCCATCAATTTAACAGCTTTTGAAACAACTTACGACGCACCACAATTCTCCATTCGATGTCCGATTGAGGCGAACTAGATATCTTCAGAAAGCTCTTTCTAAGCTCTAACCAATAGCTTTGGTTTTAAAATCAAATGACTACGTAATTAAAATTTGAACACTCTTTTCAAAACTTACATTTTTTCAGCACTTTTCGCATGTGGTTGAATTTCACGAGAAAGCCTCTTCTCATTATAACACCTCTTCATGAGACTTGAAATTCAAGTGGCCATTGTTTGCAGCAGAAAAATTGGGGTAAAGATCAGAGTCAGAAGCGGTGGCCATGACTATGAAGGCCTGTCTTATCTCTGTGAGACCCCGTTTGTCACGATTGACCTCAACAGGCTTGATTCCATTCAGATTAACCTTTCAGATGAAACAGCTTGGGTTCAATCTGGAGCTACATTAGGTGAGCTTTACTAAATTGCAAAGGAAAGTAAAATCCATGGATTTCCTGCAGGACTCTGTCCTAGTGTGGGGCTTGGTGGCCACATAAGCGGAGGAGGATTTGGGACTATGGTGAGAAAATATGGCCTAGCAGCAGATCAAGTCATCGATGCTTCCCTTATAGATGTAAATGGGAAGCTTCTTGAAAGAGAAAAGATGGGAGAATATCTTTTTTAGGCCATCAGAGGTGGTGGTGGTGGTGGAGGCAGCTTTGGAGTGGTTCTTGCTTGTAAAATTAGGCTGGTTAGAGTTCCACCTACAGTCACAGTGTTCAGCATTCATAGAACTCTCAAGGAAGGAGCCTCCGAGCTTATTCACAAGTGGCAGTTCATTGCGCATAAACTTCATGAAGATCTTTTCATCAAAGTCATAGCTCAAAATAATGGTGGCAATCCAGAGAGATTCAAAGCATCCTTCAATTCTCTGTTCCTTTGAGGAATCGATAGGCTAATACCATTGATGAACGAGAGCTTCCCTGGATTGGGATTGTAGGCAAAAGTATGTATCGAAATGAGCTGGATTCAGTCTGCTTTGTACTTTGCTGGGTACCAAAAAGGGGACCCCCCAGAAGTTTTGCTGGATAGAATCACCACCTACAAAAGCTCTTTTAAGGCAAAATCAGATTTTGTGAAGGAGCCAATACCAGAAACAGCACTAGAAGGCGTATGGAGAAGGCTTGCGGAAGAGGAAGCACTGGCACTTCTGATAATGGACCCCTTTGGTGGTAAGATGGATGAAATATCAGAAAGTGAAATCCCTTTTCCTCATAGGAAGGGCAATTTATAAAACATAAAATACATCGTGAAGTGGGACGAAAATGGGATTTAAGCATCCAAAGGGCATATAAGATGGATAAGGAAACTTTATAGGGACATGGCTCCTTATGTTTCAAGATCTCCAAGAGCTGCCTATTTCAACTATAGGGATCTTGATTTGGGTACCAACAAGCCTAATACAAGTGCTTGGGGTTTCAAGTACTTCAAAGGAAACTTCAGAAGATTGGCACAAATTAAGACAACTGTTGACCCGCAAAATTTCTTTAGGAATGAACAGAGCATACCTCTCGTAAGTTCTCTTCCTACTTCAACATAAAGTACATATGGCATTAGGAGGTCAACTGGCAAAGCTAGTGTACATTAGTTCTAGGAGGCTATGTAAAATAGCAGTTATTTTGTAAACCTTCTGCATTGTTAAATTTGTGAGACAAACAGGCATGAACAAACTTGTGCAACCCCCAAGCTCAATGGAATAATATTAAGCAGGTAGATTAGGTTCTAACTTCCTTCTTGTAATTCGGGGTTGTATTTGTAAATAGATTTCGGGGGGCTTCCCAGAAATAACCCAATTATGTGAACATCAACTTTTGTTTGTTCTAATTCTTGTCAAACAGTGCATTTTCCTTATTTACTTTATGCACTCTTCAACTCATGCCAACACCTTGCATATCGATTGCAATTATTTTATACCAAGAAATTATTAAATTCCTTTGCAAAACAGGTACAGTTGAGATGAATGATGAATCCTAAAGAAATTTGAGACAATAGTCATGAATGAAGTTACATCAAACTTCTCATCCCATATCACCCGCCACTACCAGGAAGCCGAAAAGACATTGAAATCCAAAACATGATGAAACAAATGGATGTCCAGGCATCACGCATTTTTTTGAGGACTACCACGGTTAGATGTTTGGAGATCGTATTATTCGACTATAAAACAGGTCTAGCAATAAACGGGAACCAAAAAATTTACAACAAACGCGGTTTCGTTTAAATCAGAAAAATTTCTTGAAATAGGACCATCCTTTGAGCTCTGTCCTTTCTGATTAAAATTGACAATTTCGTCCGAGAAAAATCTCACTGGCCAGCCACAGTCCCAGAATGAGATCCCTGAGCATGGAGCCCGCCATCCTCCAGTAGGATATAAAAATTAATTTCAATTGCCTACAACGAGATGGGTTCCAAACTGACGATGGCTTCTTCCTCCTCGTTGACCGAACCTGTCTTGAAGTTACAAGGCACCCGAACAGTCATGGCCTTGGGTTATTGCTCTTTCTTCTTCCAACATTGAGATGAGCGTTGCCCTCGTTCAAGGGCAACGTCATTCCTCTCTCATCTTAGAAGACCAGCATGAATTGAACAAGAGCAATATGCTTTAAGGAGATGAAAAGTCTATTCCTCAGACAAAAAGTAATTTCCATAAGCCAAGAATTTTGTTGACCAATGCTGGAATTAAACATGGATAAGCCATGGCTTCCGCTTGTAGATATAAGCTACGAAAAGCGTGTTTGGATTACGTTTCAAATAAAAAGCCCAAATATTGCGCCTCACAAAAGTTGCCTTGCCTTTCGTGCAAATGTGAGAAGCTGAACACCAATGCGTAAAATAAACACGCTCTATGTTGTATCCAGCCGTCAATTGATGGTGTTCGGTGCAAACTTGTGTTGTATCCAATGGCAGTATTGAAAAGGCTCCAGGATTACACCGACACCAACCATCTATCTCACTAACAGGCTCTCAAGTGAAGTAGCAAGTAAACCAAGTCAGAAGGCACTCGGTTAAATCTAAACCAGAGTTTTCATCCACTTTCAACCTTTTCCCTATCATCCAATTTCTCACAATCGACAAAGCTTTCAACTAGCAAGATCAATGAAAGAAAGACTGCAAGAACCTTGCTTCGGAAATGTGAAGGAGAACTACTACGTTTTCTTCGTATATACATCGGTTCTTGAAATGCTACATAACAAGTCACGTTTATCTTTATCAAGCCCAGAAAGCCACTTTCTCAAATCTTCAAAATTGCCGGAAACATCTTTACTGGAATATACTGGAAGACTTGAGTTTGTCTCAAAAAGGGTTTCTACATTAAAAGGAAGAACAGCTATCAAAGCAGAGGCAGCGGCAAGCTGAAGAGAAGGGCCTGCTTTTATCGAAGAATTGTGGCACAAGTAAGAAAACAAATAGCATCTCAAGCTCTCAACTCCACTATCTTCATATCCACCAGCAACAACTCCAAGCCTGAAAATCATAATAGTGACAATAGTACATAACAACCACAACTCAGCAATCTGCACTGCCTAACGAGGCCATATAATATAAAACTCGCCATTTATTTAAGATTCACAAATCAAGAGTTATTCACAGCACTACCAATATCAAAGCAAAGGGTCATTTTACCTCCCAAGTTGACCAAGAAGAGCAAGAATGGCGACAGAGAAGTTCTCCACCATACATGAATCTAACATACTCAGCAGCTGAGGAACAAGTTTTGTGTCTGTCCAATGCCAACTCTGCATTAAGGAAACCATGAGGTTTATAAGGCCATAATCAGGTTTGAGAATTATAAACCAAATGAAATGATAAGTTCTTCAACAAGGAAGAGCAAGAGCTGCAGGAGATTTTCATCTGTCAAAACTTGTGCATATCATCCCCCACCCCCCAACAAAGGGGAACAAAATTAGTAACAGATCTCATTACTCAGAGTCTGTAGGGCCATATAGGGAAACTGAGCCTCAAGAATAACATAGCATTTCATACGTCAGTTTCCCTTAAGACTTAAGACTGTTCAACTGATCAACATAAACAACACTAAGAGTGCAAAAATTTCATAGTAAATTACAGACTCGTTTAATAACAAAAGAATGTAATTTATCCATGATTTAATATAACAGTTATTACAAGACATCTTTCATAATATATTATCAATTATCATTATTATCAATCATCAATTATAGAGAAGGAAAAAAAAAAGCCACCTTGAAAGAGCTAGCAAGGAGACCTCTAAAAGCATTATACGGATATAAGATGATTAAACCATATTTTGCTTTCCAAGCAAATTGAAATCAAATCAAAGTTCTATTAAGAATTAACGTGAAAAGACAAAACTTATACCATTCTGCTTGCAACCAGCTCCACCAATGACAGGACATCACTAAGGTGACAAATGCTGGCATCGTTCAAAACATGATGCTGAGTAGCAGAAACCAAGAACTTCCGCAAACAGCAGGCAGCATCACACTTCATGTCAATGACATGTTGAACTGCTTCCTGACCATACCATCGTCCAGCAGTATATTTATCTGACAAGGATCTAGAATTTGTCGAATCATCCAGTTCTACCTCTTGTAGTAGACAGTTCTTGATATTTTCTAAGAGCAAGAGTGCAACAATTTCAATAGATTCAGCACCTTCCAAGAATGGGCATTTAACACTCGTCCATAATTCAGAATGCAGCTGATTTACTGATGGAAGACAGGAAGCAGCAGCTACTGGTAGGTTTCCGCCCTCCAGAAACATAATCAAAGACTTCAACACAGTGACCATTAAACTATCACAAAAAAACTTCTGTCCGCCCAGATAAGCAAATACATGAAGCACAGTCAGCATCATTAATGAATCCCATCTGCAAAACCTAAGGATATTATACGTAGACTCCCTGATAAATTCAACATGATCAGTTGCTGCACATACTGATGCTAATATAATGCTCCCTGCCACCAACTGTTCCCCTGAAGCTGTTTCTAAAGACCATGTATTTAATCCATCCAGATGAAGAGAATTTCTCAAATCCTGTTCTGACAAGGTCCCAGAAGCCATTTTATTATTTACCATAACTTTTCCTTCTTGAAGAAAGTCTTCAATGAGGCAAAGGAGCTCATGCAAGGAAACAAGACCCAAAAACAAGAACCTTGTCGTTGCAACAGAAAAAACTGTCCAAATAACCAAAGAAACCAAAACAAAAATTAAATATATATATATATATATATATGTTTCAGTGCAGCAATGCACAATATGCACATAAAATGAAAAACTAAAATGTATGCATAAGTTTAACTTGAAGAATATCCACAAGCAACAAATTTGATAACAAACCTGTGCGAATGTGTTCAGCATAAGAATTCAAGCAAGAGAGTAAATTCCCATCCAGAAGTTTCCCAAAATTTATTGATGTGTTTGTAGTGAAGTTGAATAGCAAAAGTGTAAAGAAAACAGAAATCTTCTCCCTGAAAAAAAATTAAAACGAACAAAATTAAAAATAGTGACCAATATCATGTTAATCATAAACTAACTTGGCAGATGTGACCAGAAAAGCAAAGTATGAATATAAATTATACAAACTATAGATGTTGTTGAAAGAAATGATTACCACATTTTATTATATCGTAAAGGATAGATCACTCACCTTGGTAACAGCGTGTTTTCCATGGTAAGTGCAGTCAAAATGCTATCAACAATCCAACCTGTTTCAGTAATCAAACTGCACCTAGCCATACAATTCTTTGTAGCATCAAATATCCTAGAAATGCTACTCATGTCCTCAATATTTGGAAAGACCACACAAAAATTAGGAAGTTGATTCTGTAACGATTCCATTCCACTGTCCACCAAATTCATAGCCCTTGAATTTTCTATCGCATGATTATGAGACATTTTCACATTCTCAGTTTCTCTAACCTGCTCAGGCTTCTGCTGTGAATTATAAGAAGCTCTAGATGCATCAAACTTTTCTTCATTGGAATTTATCTCAACATCAATGACATCAAAGCAATGTGAAGGAAACAAAGGTCCTCTTGGACTGAACATGTCTTCATGGAGTGCTTCCTCAAGGAAGGGCTTCAAATTACCCTTGTCATGTGTTTCAACATCATGAATTTCAATCTCGGGGAGTGATGGAGATAGAGGAACATCCATTGCTCTTCTATAGCATTCCTCATCAGCAGCATTTTCTAAGTCTAACAACTTCATATAATTTCCATCAGCTACTTCATCAAAATTAACCATAGAAGAAAAATCATTTGCAGCATCACAAGCTCTCTCCCTGAACACTTGAATGGTTCCCTTAGCATATGAGGCAGGGCAGGAGGTGTGTCCACAGATATTAGTGTCCCCACAGACTTCTCCTTTGGCTTCTTCTATACCCTTTTCCTCAACCTTGTTATATTCACGTACCATGTCCACTTCTACCCTATGAGATTTCTTTCTCTTCTTATGGGGTCTGTCAATCTTTTCTAGTAAATTATCCTTAATATTAGAAGCCATATCTCTCCTTTCAAGTGACTTGTCCTCTTTTTTATATAACATAGCATGTAAATCAGAGAGCTTCTTTTCTACTTGCAGGTCAAACTTCCTACCTTCAGAATAGTATTGTTTAATACATTCAACTGTCTCAAGTATTCTTTTTCTCTTCCTACTGTGCTCGGTAACTGTTTTAGCAGATGGTTTTGACATGCTGGGTCTTGTATTAACATTTTCCTGAGCCAATTTTGCTGATGCAGTAACTGGAAAAGCACCCTTGTCCTGTGAGCCCATCAATTGTCCATCAGAAAAAGATATACTGGAATTTACTGCAGAATTCTTTAGTTTTGTTCTGTTAGAGCCTCTAGCCAGAGGCTCCAACTGATAATCAATACCTGTGATGGATTCAGCACAGTTTCCTCCATATAGGGCAAGAGGTGAAAAGTGATGCTTGTCTTTCTTCAAAGGATCACATGTATTCAAGGTTGCTGTGCAGTAAGGCTTCAGGAGATTATTTTCACATTGGCTGTGCACCTGAGACAGATCTGAACAACAGATGTGCCTCAAAATATTTAGTTTCTGCAAGTTCAGTATATTTCCAGGCTGCAAAGTAATCATCATGCAAAGCAGGGTCAGTTAAAAGTAAACACAAGAATGGTCAATATAAAGACAAGCTACCAAAAGAATAGATGTTCTTAATGCTAGGAGTTATAACATAAGGCTAAATCCAATGACAATAATCTTTTCATTTTTCAATGAATCATTCAGATCCTGAGTCAGTTACTATTCAAAACGAATATATATTCTTGCAAGGTATGCATAACAGATAGACAAATTTAATGTTTAAAATTAACCCGAATCTGTGAGGGCTAAGTAGTTTTTACCACTTCAGAAATGTTGAAAGCTCCAACTTCCAAGGCCTAAGTAGTTTGTCGCAACAAATATGAAAATAAACATCCAAAGATTCCAACAATTTAAGAGACCCAAGCAGTAGTTTCATAACCCAAAAACCAAAACATAATTATATAGCCCAATCCTTCTATCTGCATATATAAAAATAAATAAATAAATAAGCAAGAAATAGATCGCTGATATTTTAACATGAGCACTATGCTGATGTTCAAAGTCCAATTCACAGGAATTTTTAAAGTGTGCATCCAATATGGAGAGACAAAAGTGGAGATAAAATGACACAAACACTGATCCAATTATACGTAGCCTCAAATAAAATAGTTCAGCACTGAAACTAACCTTTTCAAGCTCATCCATACTTCCAGCCGAGGGTAAAATGGAAGCATCCAGCATATCCATGCGATGGAAAATTTGAAAGAAATCAAGCTTCAATCGACCTAATTCATGCTGTAAAATTCTGCGACGATTAGCTTCCAACTTAACTTTTTCCCTGGCATGCTTTGTCCGTAGCTTTTGAAGCTTCAAAGAGTTTTCTAAAAGCTTCACTTTAGTAATTTCAGCATTCACAGTGACGTCAGGAGAGACTGCAGACATTTCAATGGTTTTTCTTAGGGATGAAAGTTCAGATATCTTCTGCTTCAAATCTTCATTTGTCCGCTTACACTCTTCTAACTTCTGGGACATCTGATTAGCAAGTTGTTTTTCCTCCACGGCCTTCTTCAAGTTATCTTCAGCAAGCTTCTTCTGACCCTCTGCTTTAATCCTCTCTTCATCAGCACGTCTCTTTTCCCTTGCTGCCTTCTGTTTTTCAACTTCTAACCTTTCCTGAGATTTTGCCAAATCAGACATGGCATTTTGTTTTTCAGCTATAAGCTTCTTCTTCTCAGCTTCAAAACGCTTGCTTGCCTCCTTAAACTTTTTCATCTCGGATGTCAACTTTTCAGCATTTTGCTTCAGCTCCCCAGCCTTCTCAGCTTCAATTTTGGCAATTTGCATTCCCTTCTCAACATTCTTATTCTTCTCAACTTCCAGTAATTTCCAAGCTTCAGCAGCTTTCTTTGTCTCCTTCTCAGCATTCTTTCTCCCAGAATCAGCCCTAATTCTCTCTCTCTCCAGAAGCTCCTTCAACCTATTAATTTCTTTCTCTCTTTCAGATATACAGGCTTGATAACTTTTAATATCTTCATTTCCATCCTGAGCATTGCCGCCACAACTCTGCTCTAATGAAATGATCTCAGATTTTAACCTATTGACTTCACTCTCCAAAGACACTCTAGCATTGAATTCTTTAAGTTTTTCCTCTTCCTCTATTTTTGCCCGCGCTTGTTCTTCATGGTATGCTGCAGAATATACATTACAGAGTAGGTGATCATAAGAAGTCACAACTCACAAATCAACGTCATGCTATTCGAAAGCCACCAAAATAGCAGAAGAGAAAAGAATAAAAAATAAACACAAATACAGAAAACAAAACAGAGGTCCTGCAGAGACACTCATTTTTCCACGACAAGAAACTTAATGTGAGGGGGGAAAATACGGAAGAATAATATCAAGGGCAAGAAGGAGATTCGAGATACAGGACCGTAAAATTTGTTGGAGATTCCAGATGGAGATAGCAAATGAATGAAAGCGCGGCAAATTATATGGTAATGATTAGCATCAACTCCATGGAAGTACACCCGGCAAATGCCTCGAATTTTAGACAGAATACCAACCTTTCTTGAGTTTCGCATTCTGAGCTTCGACTTCATTGATTTTGTCTTCAAGGACCTTCACAGCTTGTCTTAGAGCATTCCGTGACTCTTGGAGCTTTAAGCTTTTCTTTATCAACTGTTAATAAGATCCATAATTGACAAATATTCAATTATAGCCGACATGGTTAACTGAAAAATGCCCGAAAATAAAGAACACGCACCTCCACAAGAAATTCTCAAAACACAAAGAAAACGAAAAATATAATGAAAAACATACCCCAGCGCAGCAGGTATTTGTTAGCTCAGGTGTCGATGCCTGGTCAGCAGCCATCTCTTCAACAAATGAGCATGCGAAGAAAGCATTAGAATTTAAGGCCAAACCTCAGCCAATGTCGGCGCTTCAAATCGAGAACTGAAGAGAACAAGCTGGTCATGAAACAGCAGTGGCAAGCTTAATGACGATTATCTTCTTACTTCATTCACCGAATCCCCACAGATTCTCGGCATTTTGAAAGCGAAAGTGATTGAGAGATTGAGAGAGGGGAACAAGCGCCAAGAGATATCCCGTGCAACGGTAGCGTATGCTCCTTTAAACTTGAATACATCAAAACCCTAAAACCCAAGGCAGCAGGAGGGTGTAGTCCTCCGGGGGACGACCAGGTGCCAACACGACAATCTCAAAGGCTAGCGTATTTCCCGATTATTTCCTTTTTCTTAATTTTTAATTTTCAATTCACTTGCCTGTTGCCAATTTGCCATCACTGTCCGCAGAATAAGAAAACAAAATAAAATAACTTAAAAAATATAAATAATATTTATATTTCATTTGAAAAATAAAAGGCTTCTTGGAGGCCGAAAACAACAACTTTTTAATTAGAACAATTAGAAGAAAAATGGGGATATAATCATTATTTAAAAAAGTTATTTGAATTCGGCCAAAAAAAATGTTATTTAAATAAAATATTAAAAGATTAAATGACAAGTTGCCCCTAAATTGTTCAAGAGCGTTTAGAACCCTAACTCATTTTTAATATATTGTTATCCTTTAACTTTTAAAAAAATACAATATCACCTCTATTATAAATAAAATTTAATTTGATTATTAGCTGACTAAAAAAAATTATAGAATAGGACCAAAGAAATCTTTTTTCTTGTTCATGTTTTGTAATTTTTTAGATCATTGTTTATAATTTTAAAGCCTTTTTTATAATTCTGTTAGTCTTTTTTCTGTAATTTTGAGATCATTTTTTGTTTCTTTTTGTCAATTAACAATTAAAATTAATTTTTATTAAGAATATTGTATTATTTTTAAAATTCAAAAAATACAAGACACCCCTACAATCAATAAATGGAAACCCAAATTAAATCAATTAATTCAACCAGTAACTCAATGAATTAGTCAATTGGCTAGTTTGATTTATAATCTAACATAAGGTATTATCAACCAAACTAACATCGACCCGAGAGTAACTTGGGCACCCTGGTTGTAACCCAATGGTGACCCAATCAATGCAATCCATTTATTTGAGAAAATTATTTAATTTTTTAATTTTTATTGAGATTGTACTTACATGTATAAGATTTTTCTCTCTTTATTGGATTATTTAAGTAAAACTAATGATTTTTATTTAAATATTAATTTTTTCATAGTTAAACATGAATATTTTTATATATATAAATTAAATTATATTATTTTAATTAAAAACTGTTTGACTCCAAATTAACCCTTGATTGAATCAATAATGCTTGACTTATTATCTTAACTGATTTAATAACCAATCTAAATTTCAGTACCTTGCTTGGAATAAACGAATATTAAATTAATTATTTTTTATATTTTTGTATTTGAACATAATTTTTATCCTCGGGAAAGACTCAGATTTTTTTTGTTATTGTACACACGTATTTTTGTGTTGAAAGTAATCCGGTCCTGTAAGAAAGATGTCCAGTTCATTTTGTTTTTAATTTATTTATTCTGCTTTTGACAAATATGTTCATTATTTTTAAATTCGCCTCTCATTCCGTAAAGCATTTATTTTGATGTCATTGTCAATCTCACCCAGGTCAAAACTGCCAACTAGCAACTCGAGGACAAATTGTCATGCAGACAAGCAGGAAAATTTCCCGCCAAAAACCTCATGCATAACATATCAATACTTTTTACAGAATGTTTTGTTGTGGATGAGGCAGCATAAAACTAACACAAGATGCACGCTAATTCTTCAAAGCATTAATAATGAGCAACATTGAATACACAGATAAAAGTAGCAATTGCTGGATACATTTGTCTGGACACCTGAATTTTGCTATGATCTAAACCAATGAATAAATGCTATATTCGGTAGTAACTCATCTGCTCTTTGCATCAATTTTTGATGAAGGAAACGTTCCAAAGACCTTATCCCATAATGATGAAGTAATGCCGAAGCCTTTATCCTGGATCCGGAAGTGATGGTTCATGTGATACTTCTGCAGAATATCACATGAAAAGATTATTTGATTTTCCTCGCTCACCAGATTAAAGTAATTGGCATTGCCAATATTTGCTTACTCAGGAGAAATAATACTTTTGATGACACTTGCTATTAGATAGATGCCTAGATCGACATTTTACAAGAAATGAGAAGAGAAAAAACAGTCACACTCTGCGTGGTATGCGTTAAGAACTCAACATGCCTCCATTTCTAATCAACCACATTCTCAGAATTCCTTAAAAAATCCAATTTTTGATCAGCCCGGTATGCGTTAGTCCAGACGAAGGTTAGTCTTTTAAACACAATGATTTTGCTCATCAGCATAGTGAATGTAGATATGGTAATTTTATGGTAATCCACGGTCAAATAGAGACGTTATTCTTACCTTGAGATTGCGGGGCGCTTCACCCTTTGGCTGACCATGGTGCAAATAGTAATGCGTGCAATCATAAATCACATAACCCAATAAACCACCTCCAAACAGAGCGGGAGCCGTTGAGGGAGTGGCTATAAGCTTCACCAAGTTCCAGAACTGGGCATGGCAGACAATAAATTTAAAATCAGTTCATTAAGCCTCTATTTGCAATCTATACAATATGTAATGTGTGTTAGCACATGCAGACAAGCAATTATTGCACGCTGAACATTGATTTTGCAAGATTTCACAATTCCGAGGTTTACTGACCCATTTCAGTATAGACTTTAGAGTAAAGAAATAGATTATGTTTTCACATGGCCAAGGATTTTTTTGTGAATCTAGAGAATTCCACAAAGCCACTCCAGAAACTCCTATTCAGGACTGAAGATATAAACATGGACTTGATCTATTCCAGCATAGCTACAGAAAATATCTCTCCATACCGAAACTAGATATAGCAGGTGTTTGAAGAGGCCTTCCCCTCTTCCACATACTTCTGTTGGAGATATCTTGTGCCCTTGCTTCGCTCTTTATTTAATAAAAGTAGTTTCTTCTATGACAAAAATATATTATTCCAAGCAGGGAAAACATCTTTCTTGATTTTCCCCTTTAGAAATCTCTAATGGAAGACTTTCTTTTTAATTGCAGCACTTGATAGGATTAGCAAAAATGATCAGTAGCAAGTTCACATAACTCGCAAAACTACCTCTTAATGCTTGTGTTAATTTTTTTTTCTGAAAAAAACCACAATCATTTTTTTTTACTGTTCAGCACTCCAGCTGCTAGTTTATAGTTATTAAAGGTCTCCTCTTTTTGGCAATTTCATTGACTTGGTTCTACGGTAAGCTTTGCTCCTTGGAGAAATTTACCATGAGAATTTGAGAGGATTCAGGTGAAAGTAAAGAGAGTAACTCGAGCCAAAATGAAACATAGAAAAGCAGAAAACAGTCACCTTTAATAACAGGACAGAAAGTTTCACCCAAAACATGAGAACAGGACAAAAAAGAGACAGGAAATGACAGGAAAACCTCAGTTAGTCATTCAACTTCAGTGAATTCGAGTGTATTGAAGCAGCAGGACAAGTTATTGGTTCCAACAATCAGGAAGGACTCATATGGAAGATTGAATCCCACCGTTCTCTTGTCTACCATCCAATCAAATTATATTAATGCATGATACGGTGTGGGCATGGAATAAAGAAATACCGGCATCAATAATACAGCAGTTGCAGCAGGGGGGAAAACAAGCCTCAAGCCATCCATGGGGTGCTTATGGTGGCAGCCGTGAAGAAGATAATGAATTGTATTTCCCCTGAAGCAGGGGGGGGGGGGAAAGGAACCAGTAAGTAATTCTTCTACAAAAACATGCTACACAACCATGCCCTTAAATTAACATTTGCACGACAGAAAGGAGGAGTGAAGAGCGAGAGAGATGTCTAACCAGTAAGTTTTTGTTTTAATGTGGAAAAGGAACCGGTGCAATGAATATTCAAGCAATGTCCAAGTAAAAATGCCGAGGACCACCAGTACAGTGATGTGAGGGCAGGTGAGACCCATTCGCACAGAGACAGAGATAAACCAGCATACAACTGGCAACCAAATGACTGGAATCGCCCACCAGACTGTGCGGGTCAAGAACTGTTCCAAGTAGTACCAAGTCAAGAACATAGCTGTAAATATTCAGCTTAAATGATCATGTACGTTACAAGATCAAAACACGAAAAATGTATGGTTCTCAAATAAGAAAATGATGGGTATACATTTTTTTGCAAACAACTATATAGTGCCCCAATCAAATCATATCCCTGTTGTGTTATTATTAGAGAACTACAAGCTCATCATGTTTTTCTCGAGGACCAGGTGGAAAATATATAAGGAACTGCATAGAAATCTAGTCCTAAAAGATTATACCTCCCAAAAATCACTTTCGAAAAAACGAGGGCCTTCCTTGCTCACAATCGGCTGGTGAACCCATTCTTCATAAGCTTCTCCCAGATGGCCGACCTGTAATAACAAATTAAAAATGACGAGTCCTCAATTATAGATAGGAACTAATCTGTCAGTCATCCAAACCGAGGTTTTAGGAAATAAAAAGGCATTTAACAATTGATACATGAAATAAAAAGAAGCGTAATGAAAACTGAAATATACTGCAAGATGGGACATGAAAAACACATTTGGGACAAGACCTAGAGGGAAGGAGTCCGTACCTGGAAGACAAGTGGCTTGTTCAAATCAACTACAAAATCCTGCGCAACCATCTTGGGACTGGATATCCAACAATAGAATAAATATATAAGAAAGGTATTCATTATAATGGAAAAAATGAAAGTGTGTCAATAACATAACAAGAAAATACTATTCATTATATTGATCACGCAAAACTTGCTCACAAGCCAAGAGTTAATAGTGAAATTGTCCAGATATTGTCTCATTCTTGGTAATATGGGACGCATGGGTGCAAACAGAATTATAAATAACATAATTTGTCAGGTATTACGGGCTTAAAGAACAACGATACAATTAGAGAGACAAGAAGTGTTTCTGCCCCGAAGAAAACAAAGAGAATATGAGAAAAGTAAGTGAATTCTTAGGAAATTTGAAAATTCAGCGACATTAACATTCCATTTGGATTAAAGCTACAGCCAAAAGATGAAAGGGTTGTTGATAATAAGTCATTTGACGACACATCAGTTTTCTCGTCTGCTAAAAGTGGGATCACACATATACTGATCGCTTCATGCCACAACTTAAATTCTGTGACTTGTCTGATGATTGTAGCAGGATTCATAGTGGTTGATAAAAGTTACGTTGCGTCTCATTTCGAAGGAAACAGTCATTATCAAAATATAATCAAGATATAAAATAAAAAAATAACAAATTGCAATTTTCATGTTAATGCAGCTCATTTTAGAATATGTATGTACAATATATATATATGTACACACACACATACACGGGACCCACGCTAGTTGTCCCATACAACGGATTCCCTCTCAGTTTACCCCACTTCCAGAGCGCAGAGTCCTTTTCACCTAAATAAAAATAGTGAGCTCTTTAACATTAATAATTAACATCAATGAAAAGAGGATGAATGAGTTCACATGCGTGACCCAAAAAAACCAAAAGAAAGAAAGAAAAAGAAAAGGATTTTACATACAGGGGGATTCAAGTGGAATCGGGATTGTTCGCCTCAGGTTTAACTCAAATATAGAAGGAAAATCACATCAGCTCGTAGCTTTCAAAAAACTCAACGCAGAACCATGCAGCTAAAAACATCTCAATTCCTAAAATTTACATATTTTTAACTAAAAAGAAAAGAAAAGAAATTCTTCCCCAACTTGACAGGTAAATAGGCATTACCCAAGTTATACTTAATAACATTTCAAATTAAGCAGCGACTGAAACGAAAAAATTGAACTATTCTTCTCTTTTCAAACAACCCGTCTTCAAAAGTGGTGGTAGCACACAAACCCAATAAGCCCTGTGCTTGAAAACGAACACAGTCAGGGAATCTCCAATGCAGTTTATAAGCAGATTCCGGCTGCTCTCAAAACAAACATCTGAACAGAAAAAAGTCCTAAGAACCCCACCGTTTTCGGGATAGAAGAAAAGGCTCAAACAAAAACAGCCACAGATCTAGAAACCCCAGCCGATAGAATTAAGGAAAAAGAAAATGCGAGTGAAAATAAGAAACTAACCAAGCTGGAAAGAATGGGAAAGGATTGAAATCTGCGAGCGGGAGACGGAAGAACACTGTGACACGCGCAGTGTAGGCCTCCGGTATTGCGAGGTGGGAAGAGCATGTGATTGATAGATAGAGAAGAAAGGGGTAATAATAACGGAAGGACAAAATCTGAGCCGTCCATTGGAATGGAATCTGGAGTTGGATTGTAACTGTGAACAGGCTGGCGCTTTCGTTATACAGGAGCATCGTTGGATGACGTGGCTACATGTGATTGGTCATGAGATTTCAGACGAACATGCAATCCCTCCCCTCCACCAAAGGCATGTTTGATTAGAAAAAAAAGAATAAAAAAAGTGGCATGTTTGATGAAAAAAAAAAAAAGAATGAAAGAAGAGGGAGAAGGGAGGAGAGCCCTCCCCTCGTTTGTTAAGGTAGAGGGGAGGGAATGTTTTTTAAAATGTTTCCTCCCCTCCCTCCCCTCCCTTAATCAAATAAAACCTAACAGTCGAACCCCTCCATAGGAGATGTCGAGGTGGATTCTCAGATGTCTTGCGGTTTTAACTTTTAACTCTCAATTTTGGACAAAATTTAACATTAGTATCCAAATTTTGTAAAATTTATTTCAAATCACAATAAACCATTAGTTATTCTTAGCATTTTATACAAATATTGTCCCCAATGAAAACTTTAATGTTAAAGTATATTTCTATTTCTTTAATTTTATATAATATTTTATTCTACTTCTTTAATTTTATAAAATATTTTTTAATTTATTAATAAAAAATTCTTATGTTAAATTTTTAAATATTAATAAAATATTTTTAAATATTAAAATATTAAATTTAATTTCTTTAAAAAAATGATGATGGGTTCACAAAAAAATAATTATTTAAAACTAACAATATTAAAATTAAATAATTAAAAAAATATTTTATAAAATTAAAAGACTAAACTAAAATCTTATATAAGATCAAAAGATGAGAGGTATACTTTAGCTAAAATTCAAATGAAAATAAAAAATAATTCAATAATATATTATACTATTGAAGTGGATGGTAGAATCGAATGGCGGCTCCATATAAGGCTTGGACATTTTTATTGAAAAAATATAAATTACACTCTCTTCATTTAAAAATATAAAATATTTTTTAAAAAATTAAACATTTTAATTGTAAGACATTTTTAATATTTTAAGATGTAATTAATTTATTTTTTTCAAGAGTATCCATAAAATGAATCATTTTATATTTATTTTAAAGTAAAACATTATATTAATATAAGAGTAAATATAGAAATATGATGTTAGTTTTGAGATAACTAACTATTTTATTAAGGTAAAATTTAATTAAAAATATCTTATATCTTTTAATAGAGGGGAGTAAGTCATTCTATGTTCTTCTATGAGAATCAGTATTTTTGAAAGTTTTTATCAGATTTTAATTGTTCATCAAAATTAATCTTTTCAAAAGTTTGAGGAAAAATTCTATAAAATGTATCTAATATTTATTTTTTTAAAAGGAAAAATTAACAATTTAATCTTTTAATTTTTAACTCACTTGTAATTCAATCTCTTAATTATAACTCACTGCAACTCAATCTCTCAACTTTTAACTCTCTTATAATTTAGTCTTTATTTTTTAATTTTGAAAAATGTCTTCATCAAATAAGAGGAATAAAAGAAATACTCATATCTTGCTCTAAAATATACTCCTCTTGCTCTTTGTGTCTTAATGTTACAGGATATATTGATCTAGATAAGGTCCCGTAACGTCTCTCCTAAGCAAACTCGTGCCAAATTAAAAGAATTTTTATTTGTTATCCAATCAGTGGCAATTTTCCATAAACGAACTTAATTGGCCACATAAAGTCTTCATTTGCTGTTAAGGTGAGGGACTATGTCATAGGTGAGTTAATGATTGAGGAACTGACTTATAACAAGTCATAGTTAAAAAATTAAATTACAATAAAATTAAAAGTTAAGAAACTAAAAGATTAATTTTTTTAAAAAAATCATTATAATCAATATTCAATGCAAAAAATTGTAAGTCATTTATAAGATATAAATTGCGGTGCTAATATTCATCAGGCACCAGCTCGTTGGCCATGCAGGGAAAAGTAATTCGTCACCCTAACTTTCATAAAAGGAAAATTTTAGTTTAGATTCCTTAACTAAATATAATGAAAAAGAGAACATAAAATTTTACTGCAAATCAAGAATAATGAAATAAAATTAAAATGCAAACTAAAATTACCTTATTCTCTTTAATGGCTTAAGCATGCTAAAAGACATTAGCAAATTTCTCATGTTAAAGTTGTTTATTTCTCATACTAAGATAGTTAATTTGCTTACCAAAATTATTTATGCGCATAGCTTTATTTAATTTTATTCTTAGTGTTGTTATCATGATAGAAAGAGTTGCAAATTTTTGATATTATAGTTGTTCATTACTTATATTAATGTGATTAATTTTCCCACAAGAGTTGTTAGTGCACATTGTTTCACTTATTTATATTCAAACTCCAGTTATTATAATAAATAAAGTTATAAATTTATCATACTAAAGTAATTAATTTTTCTACTAAAAATGTTTATGCGCATAACTTCACTTGATAACAGTACTAAGAATAAAATCAAGTACAGTCATACGCACAAACAAGTCATATAAGAAAAATAAACACTTGAGCATGAGCAATAAACCGCTATTGTATGGAAAAACTGTGATAATAACACTAAAAATAAAATCAAGTGAGATTATGAGCATAAACAATCACAATAAAAAAAATGAACTACTTCGATATAAAAAATTTGCAAATGTCTTTTAACAAGCTTAAACAATTATGGACAATGAAATAATTTTAATTTTATTTTACTATCCTTAATCTGCAGTAAAATTTCAGAGTTTAAGGAGCTATCTCTTTCATTATGTTTGGTCAAGGGATCTAGGCTAAAAGTTTCCTTCTTAAATAAAATATATCAATTGCTCTTGGTGGTAGATTTATGTCATTCATAAATTCAAATGAAATTAAAGGAAATCTGATTCATTTCTTGTATTTTAATTAGCTTCATATAAAAAAAATTAAGTGAATGCCTCTAATTAGATAGTGAGTAATATTAATATATGATTCCCGTTATTTGAAAACGATCTAATATGTAAGAATAAACTGAGATTTGCAAAGTAAAATTAAAATAGAAGTCTGTAACTGTAACTTTAATCAGTCTTTGTTGTTTTCTGTTATTTTTGGTCACACACGAGTTACTCGTTCCTAGTTTAATGGCACATCAACATCACTTGGGAGAGGGGTTGACCCTGCATCCAGGGGGGGTTAATTGTGATTTACTTCCAACTTTTTTTATAAATAAGTATGTCATTTTTTAAAGCAACATATATCACGCATGAGAAAATTACACTAAATTACAATTTATACAACAACAAATTAAATAGTGAAATTGACTTCCCTGTCTAACGTGAATTTCATATAAAATGAAAGAAGTAAACTAAATATTTGTATAAAATTGCATAATTTTCGGCTGCAGAACTATAATTAGTCGGATAAAACGGAACTGTCAGCTAACAATGGTGCGTGTAAACACGAGTCAGCTAATTAAAGTAAAAGGGGAAGCCGCATCAAAACCTACGTCAATGCTGCTGGAGTTTTATTTGAAAAAGTGGGACTGGCTATAAAAACATCTCCTGTTTATTTGAAATTAAAGTAGATTCGCCATTGTCTGCCAATTGGAGACGTCTTGCAAAAGCATCATCTAAATTTCCCTTCATTAATCATGTTTTTTCACTGTGCCATTTTTACCCTGGCACTACTGCTGAGATCTCCAGAATTTGGGGGAATGGGACTTACTATTTCGTTTTTATTTATAAAAAAAACTAATACTTTTTAATTATTTTTTATATAAATAAAATTACATATTTTAATTCACATTTATTGCACATTTTTTAAATCACCCCTCATAATTTATATTAATAAAAAATAATTAATGCGTGCTTATGTTGATTAATCTAGGACATTTTAGTCCACTTTTTTTATCGCCGGACATAATTATTATAATTAACCAACTTTTTTAAATTATGTGATACAATTTTTTTTTCTTATGTATATAAACGAAGGAAATATCTCATAATACCCTCCTCTAGTCCAATTTAAAGGGTAAAGAGAGAACATTTTTTTGTCTTATTTATAAGTTACCTCATTAAATTTTTATTATGAATTTTTTAATTTGACCTGCATTAAATATTTGAGAGAAAAAATGCGTTATTAAACTATATATATTTAATAGAATAAAATTAAAAAATTATTAAATTTTTAAATAAAGTTAATAAATTTTAAATTTTTTTATTATATTGAAATATGTTGAAAATATGTTATAGATAGAATCATAATTATTGGGTGCTCTTCCCAAGCTCTATCATCATGATTATAATACTATCTCTCAATGGAAAGGGATCATCATCTTTCTCCATCTGATCTGGCAAACCAGAAACTCCATTATCCACTCCCCACGCACATCGTTTCTTTTGAATTGTTTTCGAGGTATACATGTCTCCTTTTTTTTTTTTCCCTTGGGATTCACTTTGCAAGTGAAATGTTTATAATGATTGCACTCAGTTGCCAAGTCCCAAATTCAGCCATAACGGCTGGTCTGTTTGGATGAAGAAGCTTAAGATTAAATCCAAACACCGTTAAATGTTGGATCTTCAGTCGATACATGGCGCATGCATCCTTCTTTACT